AAATGTTTTATTTAAAGATAATTTTTTGAGGAAGTGCATTTAGACTGAGCAAGAGGATTAAAGAATATTCAGCAAATATACTGTAAAACAAATCTTCAACCCCAGGCTGTGTTAACAATAGCTTCATTTAAACTGTGCATGGAAAATCACTAAAGCAGTCACTGTCAAGCTACTGGCAGCAGAGTGTCAAGAGTTACTGGCAGTGGTCCAGTTCTCAGTCTTAACTCAGTTAGACTCTTTAATCCCATTACAAAAACAGATCTGTCATATTTTCCAAAACTACATGTAACTGTTGTTGGAAAAGTTAAGTTCTCTTCATTGTTTTTATCTTCTCTTTTCACTACCAGGATCATTCCTCTTTTTCCCTCACCCTGTACTCTTACATTACAGTAGTCTACAGCAGCACCTTATATCATCTAAGACTTTCAGCTTCTCCTTGTGCCCAATTTACCCCAAAGCCTCACAAGAGGAACTTTCTGTCAGACATTGCCATCAGCCATGAGGGAGTGCATCCTTTGAAATCAGTGAAAAATACCAGCCTCAACCAAGTGAAGCAACCGAACCGAACCAAGAAACGCAATTCTTGATGGATGACTCATACATTTATCCTCATGAAGTCCAGTGAAGTTACGGAACAAAGTTTGCACTGTTTCTTCCTGAATTCAAAGTTGTTTAAAAGAAAAAAAAAAAGCCACATTAAGGGTCTTCAAGTCAATGAAATTAAAACAATAATACTTCTACTGACAAGAATGACTTGTTTTCGTAATGCCTACAGTGATTGGCTTCACTGTGTGTTTTTTATGTCGGCCTTTGTTTGCAGTTGTGCAGATAAAGAACAAGCACGAGCCAAGAAAAGCTATCATAGCACATATTGATGAATATTGTGCAGAAGCTTCCCCGTCCTCTCCGCATTCAAAACAATGCTCTCTCTGCAGCTGAGTTTTATAGTTACCAATTACTTTGGGATAGAGAACACCACACCACAACTCAAGCTGACAGGCAATTTTGAGAGCCGGGATGTTTAAAAAATTTTAATACCTCAGCCCTGTGTAAAGTTTGTAATAAATAACTTTAAGCAGGATTTTTTCAGGTCCAGACACACACACACACACACACACACACAATGTGGCCTTCAGCAGGTATGAGGTATGTACGTTAACTATCAATCAGTCCAACAGAGGATGTATTCATGTGTCCACCGACTTTAACACCAAAGCAAACATCCGCTTTAAACGGCTGCTGGGGACAGTGAATGCTCCCGACTGTGCGAAGGTCCGTGTGAGAAGGTGTGTGCACGTATGTATGCGCTGTATGTGTGGGCGGCGGGCTGGCTGGCAACTTGCTTTGGAGACGAAGCTGCCAAAAAGAGCCTGCTGTCTGGACTCGGTTTACAGTGGAGTATCCCTCCTTCTGCCCTGCTGCCACACTCCCCTGCCCTGAGCGTCTGTGTGTCAGACGCACTGTGGGTTAAGAAGGTGGCACGTTGCCTATTAGAGATAGAGAGGGAGGGCAGACAAGGCCGAGGTAGGCTCTGTTGGCAGGAGACCTGACGCACACACTCACACACACACTTAGACACACTTAGATATATAAAGAAAAACTAAAAAAAAAAAAAACTGACTCATTCACTCATCCTCTGGCCTGCGACATGTGTGTGCTAATTAGCTCTTGGCACACTTGTATGTGTGTGTGTAGTGTGTGTGTGTGGGTGTGTGTATGTCTTCGGCAGTCAGTCTTGCAGTGCGGACACCCGTGAGTGTTTATTAAATGAGTCTTGGGGCCAGACACTTAATGAAAGACCAATCTGGCTTGGTGCTTTGGTTCAAAGAAGTCAGGGGGGAGGAGATGGGAAGCAAGACACGGCAGTTATATAGAGTTAGGGGGAAGGAGAGTGTGACAGAGAGACAGCTACAGAGAGAAATGCAAAGAAAATTGGAAGAAACCAAGAAAGAAATGTGCAGATTGTAATCTGAATGAGAATGGAAGATGGGATTTGAGAGAAAGAGTCAGAGAGGCTGTTTTTTATTATTTGAGTGGGATGAGGGATACAGGGAGGAATGCAGAAGGAGGGAATAGGATCAAGCTGATTACTGTATTTTAATTTCCCTCTTCTGCCTAGGGATAAACTGTCGCACACATGCGCACACACACACACACACATAAGCATGCAGAGTTATGCACAGTTTTACAATTGAGTTTGTCTTTAATTAAAAGCCAGAACAATTTTGTCCAGTTTAATTAAATGTAGAACTAAAAGAGAGCCGAAAGTTGCATGTTGAATTTGTGTTTTATTAAATCTAAACGACAATGCCATTCAATCAGAGTGAAAAGACACACACGTAAGCTGTTCATGTGCACGACTATTTGAACGCCTGTATGTGTATGTGTGTGCGTGTGCGTGTGTGTGTGTGTGTGTTGGACTTTAATGTAACTCTTAGGATGATATTGTGTAACCACCCTCCAGCTACTCGGAACGAACGGGGGCATTTTATTATTTCTTGAAGGGAATTCCAAATGAATCGAGGTCCTCTAATCTCTGTTGCCTGACTTCTTATTGGCTTATTTCATTCCTTTTCCTCCATGTTGCTTATTTTCCGATATGAAACTTCCATGTGAAGATTTAATGGGAAATCAAGCCTGAGAAGGGGGGAAAAAAATGAAAGTGTGAAGCAAATCACTGTAACCATCAGCCTGTGTCATCACCAGTGATTTCAAATGTAAATAGGACATATAAATGGCTTTATGTAAATGAGGAAAGATACTACATGAACAAATGCTTTTAACTAAACAAATGTTCAGATGTTAATATGCTATCTTAATTGGTCTTACTGCTTCCTCAAACACCCCCCCCCCACTGCGCTCCTTTGACTTTGAATGTTAATAACTTAGTGGATTTAGATTCCCTCGGACCTCCCAGGCTCCCTCCGCCCTCAGACACTATGGGCAAGTGGAGACATGCCTTCACTGTCTATTAATCAGCATGTGCTGGGTAAAATAGATGTGATAAAATGGGCTGGTCAGTGCAGTTAATGAGCTTAACAGCTATAAATTGCATTATAGACCTCGGTGAGGATGCAGAATCTATTACTACTGTGGAATAAGTAAGAGAGCGCAGGAGGAAGGTCTGGTGAAAGTCTCTATTTCAGGCAGTGAGATATGGTTAAATGCACATACACACACACACACACACACACACACATCCAAACATAGATGCACACACAAGGCAGCATACACACTCACACAAATGGAGTGTCATTGTTGGGGTTCAGGCTCTGGCTGTTGTGAATGTTCTCCTGGGAAATCACCCGGAATAAAATTAGACCTGAGGAATTCTGTGTGTGTGTGTGTGTGTGTGTGTTTGTGTTTCTTCTCTTCTCTTCTCCATCAATATCCTGTTCAACCATTAGTTCCAGTGCACATACAAACACCTCCATGCTCTTGGTCACAGGATATAAATCTGATGTTCATGGCTGGATCAACGCAGCCTTTTTACAGTAGAGCTATGGATATTGGTGGGTCGCATTTGGTTGTTTTGTTGTGCCAGCACGCAGTTTATAGCATCGGAGCGAGGGTGGAGTGACCACCTGAACTGAATGTAGATGGCACATGAGGTGGCAGCCATGACACCAGTTATCTATCATATGATAATCAAACAGTAGCAAGGCAGTAAACTTTCCTTTCATCTTCTCCAGCTGTATGGCGTCGGCAGAGACTGCAAACCACCTTTTCCATTCATTCTCAGCTGCTAAAAGCCAGTGTGGTGAAAATAACCAAGTGAAATATGTGTTTACTAGTCTGTGTTGTTTACAGTGATGTTGGTACACAGAATGTTTTGTTTACTTGCCATTGATTCAAGTCGGAATAAGCAGAATGCTGTGTTATGGTCAAATTTAAATGGAGTGGAAACCATGTCCATCCGGCAAGAAAATGGCACCTGCAGGCCTCATTTAGGAGCACACCCACTGCTGATAATTCAGCACTGCTAAACAATGTTCACAGAAAAATACACATAACCTAGACACACACACACACACACACACACATGCACACAGTTGTTTTGTTCAAAATAATGTGTTTTACAAATAAAAATGTGCAGTATTCACAATCATTGAATATCCTTTTATTTTTTATTTGTGTAGCCCAAAATAAAAAAAGTTTTTTCGCAGGGACACAAAAACAGGCTGAGTCTATAAGAATAAAAGACAGTCATCTCGCTTTAATATGCTTTATTCTCCCTTTGGTCGTATTGATTTTATTTCAGCACCGGCTCTCAGGTTAGAATATTGGGGGATCCGGAAAACACAAGTAGCATCACTAAAAACATCAACCTGCGCTTCCTGCCTTGCGGCATCTGTTCCCAGACAGACAAGTTCAAACACATGAAAATCTGAGCGTTACAAATCTATTTTTTACCCTCCTCAGCTCCCCCCTGTTGTCCTCCTCCCTATCCACTCCGTCTCCTTCCAAAATCAACTCTTCCTATTATGCTCCCCTTATAACCGGCAGCACCACAAAAGTCTGTTTGTAAACGATTGTTTCCTATCTCTGTGTGCTCATGTGAGGATGGTTAGATCTTATGTTTGTGATTGTGTGTGCTTGTACTGTATGTTTGTGCTGTATTGATTGTTGCGGGTACACGGGGAAATAAGGATGGATCAGTGAAAAGACGGAAGAACAGAGGATAAAACACAAACAGTGAGAATGGCCAGAAGAATGAAAGAGACACAAAATGAGCCACATATCAATCTGAGACAGGAGGAGAGATTTATTTAAGCTTCCAGAATCCTCTTTCCTTTCTGATGCTTGTATTCAATGCCCCCCCCCCTTATGAATTCTAAATGATCCATGTAGCAAATACTCTCCTCTTGTCAGAGTCTTAGTTTGAGCAGTGCTCTTGTCTGAGACGGAGCAATGCCCGAGCGAGGCATGTTTTCCTTTCAGTTGTTGTTCCTGTGTTTTCTAATCCCTTGTTCCCTGCGTGTTTTGTTTGTGCCCTACAGAGCAATCACTTCGGACAATCAGTTGGTCGTCCTGGCAACCACAGCGACAGACGCAGGACGTTACCATTTAGAGGCTGTGAACGAGATGACAGGGGAGAATGTGACGAGTCCTGCCGTCTACCTGAGCATCTCTGGTAAAAAAAACAAAACAAAACAAAAAGAAATACATTCTCTCTGATTCTGAAAGCTTTGAGAAAAGAAGAGCAACCTGACTAATTAGCAGCGTGTGCATTCAAAACATCAGAGTCAGTGTAGTCTACCATGAATCTATGAGGTGTATTTTAATCACACAACGAAACAGAGTCTATGCAATAATCAAATATGTCTGTCTGTGGATTAGAAGATTCTCAGACTCTTTGAGAAAGTGCCACTTGCTCATTATTTCTTATTGGGGTTTTTTTTTTTAACCCTTTAGTGCTACATCCCTGAATGAGTGAGTGAGCAAACGAGTTATACCATTGATGGGCCAACTGTTGGACTTTTCCCATTGGCATGTAGTCTTAACGAGCTGTATGTCAGTCACTACTTATGATACTTGTTCTGTTTTCCGACAGCAGAAACAGAAAAAGGCGTAAATGAGAACAGCTTTATTGGAAATTCGGCTGTATTAAAGTATGTGAGCGCAGAGGCAGAATGCAAATACAGCGCGATGACGCAGTGAATATGCTAATTAGTTTCCACAACAGTCTTCAACTACATCTTACTACTACTACATTTTAACCTCGTCTTGTCAGGCTGTTGAAAAGCTTGATGAAGTGCTCCTTCTTATCACTAGGATTCAATTGATCTGAATCCATTTTATTTAAAAAAAAAAAATAATAACTACAACAAAAAGACAAGGCTCAGAAGACAATTTTGAGTTGTTGCCTCATTACTGTCAAGTCTTGTAGCTACAGCCCGAAAATGAGAGGAGCAGCAGAACATATGAACTTTGCCAATTTTTGTAGCTACCTGATCGAAATACTGAAGGTGGTGATTCTGAACCATTAACTTGAGAAGTTTAAATGATTGATGTTATGTGATTGAAAGTATGACCGACAGGCAGATTCAAACAACTGAAATGACCTGATGCAGTGAGATTGTTTCAGAGGAGAAGAATTATCACTCAGATGATCTTGTTGTGTTGTCAAGTGGTGTTACACCCCACAAATGATTTTTGGCCAGGAACACAAACTGGCTTGCAGAGAAGGCATCAACCAGTAAACAGCCACGTTTTATTTTCGATTTAAGCAAGTTATAATCTGATGTTTGTCGGCGCGGGCTACAAATGTTTGGAACATTGCTAAATAAATAAGAAAATTGAGGAGAGACAAAATTTGACTAAATATTTGCTAAACCTAAAGTTTTGCTCCATCTATATTTTGCCAGACCAGTCATTACATGTGTTGTCTGTAGTTTCGTAATAAGGTTGATGCTCTTCCCCGACTGTCAAAGACTAAAAAAATCTGTGCAAGTTGGTGGAAACAGTCTTTATGTGGGGTTTGTTCAGACTGCAGCTTTAGCACTCACTGCACTATTATTACTAATTGTAACAGACACAGTCCTTTACAAATGACATTAGTAAATAGATCGAGCCCATATCAGTGTTGTTCCTGTTAATTGGTGTTTACAGGCTCTTGGTATTTAAAGAATATTAAAACCACAGTTATTGATTGCCTGTTTTCGCCTTTTGCAAAGGGTCAAGTCATGCAGCTGCCTTTTAATTCAAAAACAAGTTTTTGGTTCATTAATGTTAGTAAATAGCGAGCAGCCATTTCTTCAAAGAGGCTGCATTTACAACAAATGAAAAATTTGGTGCCCCTGCCTCAGTCACGGCCTTAATCTGTGACTCACTTTATCGCTGGATCCTTCTCTGTATCTCTATCGTTTCTCCTTGGAGGCCAGTGTATAGACTCTACAGTCCAACAGTCCTTCAGCTGAAGTGTTCACTATAGTTAAATGAGAGAGGGAGGGGACGCTCTGTCCCTTGTGGCTGTATAGAGTTTTAATTAGATTCTCTTTACAGGGTTGTATCCTTTGGTATCCTTTGTCACAAATGCACACGCACACACTGACACACACACACACACAATCACATAAATATACACACAGTACCTTGTTACAGCTGTCAGTGTGGAGCGCTCCCTTGGGCGTTTTTTTAGGAATGGTAAGGGTATAGTTAGTCTTCACTGATCAGTCTTCAGCCATAAACGTCAGCTAGTGCATGTGTGTGTGTTTGTCTCTGTTTATCATTGAGGCTTTTCTACAATAAAGATTTCTTGGGTAAATATCCTTTGCTATGAAACAGCATATTTGATTCAGTTATTTGTTATTGAGACTGGGGAAAACTAGAGGAAAAAAGGAATTAAATTCAAACTGGGAGGACAAACAAAATAGTCAAAATGATGCAAAAAAAGGGCAAGATGTGAAAGAGAAAAGACAAAAGCAAACAAACAATGAAACATGGAAACAGAAGGTATTTCTTCATGGTTGATTTTCTATTTGTGTGGTTAATTGCCAGGCCTGACTCTTGTGAGAAAACTCTAATAGTAAATTACGAATTAAGTCTAAAATGACGACTGTATTGATGGTTTTGGTTTTTCAAATCACAGTATTCTCTGTAATACTAACAGTTACACATTACACATAGAGCACATTGCACGCCCGTATCATTAATAGGCGAGAGCAGACAAGGTTTGGTGGCAGGAAATTTGAAGAGAAAAGAATCCATTTTGTTCAAATGAGATTAAATTAAAGTGAACTGAAGTGATGAGCAGTTCAGCAGGTTAACTGACACAAGAAAACAGGTGAATGAACTCAGGCAAATTGTGTTTTTTGTTCGTTTGTACCTCCGCTTTCTTTCTTTCTTCTTTTTTTCTTCTTTCCTGTCCTATGTCCTTCTCCCTCCATTTCCTGTCTCCTCTCTTTTCCATTCTATTAAGCAGCCTGTACTGGATCTAAAGAACGGAGTTCGAAGCTGTCAGTCAAATTTTCTATTTCTAAAAATGTTGTCTGTCTTTTCATAAATTCCCCAGAATAAATGAGATACCTATTTTCTATTCTCCCCTTTCTCACTTTGATTCGAACGCTGTGCTCAACAGAGAAGAACAAGCGAGAAAGAGGACTGGTAGAGAAAGCGAGAGAGAGAGAGAGAGAGAGAGAGAGAGAGAGAAAAGGAATTAATGAAGTGAGCCACAGGGTGCAGACTGAGGATATGACCAACAACCTGTTAATGTCAGGACTGCTGGAAATCTTTGTGCGTTTCCTTTCCACAATCACACAGACACACACTCACACAAGCACAGGCATGAACCGTTAAGGTACAGTCGCATTTGAACAATGTGTCACATTCATGCCGTGTCACTATTGCCCATCAGAATCTTTTTGCTAATCCACAGAGCCTTTAAGAGCCAAGAAAAGAGGTACGCAGCGAGCTGTACGACCTGCCTACTTGACATAGCCATTATCTACATGTCCCTGACCGCTATCCTGTGAGTGTGGCCTAGACTGCTGAAAATAAAAAGCACTAACTGTCATCCGTGGTTGAGCTGCAACAGCCACAATTGATAGCAGCTCAACAGCTTGGTGAGAGGTCACACACTGTAATCACTGGAAGTACAGCCTGCCTCTAAAATAAACAGCTCCTGCAGCTTCTTTATCACCGCCGACAACATATGGTGTTACAGGAGACATTTTCAGTCAGTCGTCAACTGCAGAAAGAACATGACAGATTGGACAGAAGCTGGAATTTAAATATTCAAAGATGAACATGTGCTGCACAAGGCGTCCAAATATGAAGTCAATGCAGCAAAGCACATCAACGCAGCAACTCCAGGGAGGGAGGGTCAGCCTCAAGGTGCAGGTCTGGCCATTTAGTTACAGTATACACTTGATTTGGTTCAGGGTGTGTTTGCATTAGAGAAACAGAGCTCTAATGGCCTCGGGGTATTTCTGTTTCTGGGAGATGAGGATCCCTGCTCCAATTAATTAAGCTCCATGCATACCTGACATCATTTCTCCCTCCCTTTTTCTCTTTAATACACACACATTCACACATTCACACACACCTCAGCCTGCCAATCAAAACAGCAGTCAGTCTCCCTGTTGCCCAGAAGTGTGTGTGCGTGTCTGTGTGCTTTTCTTCAGTTCACAGCTGTGGAGATCTTTGTAGATTTGTACTTCAGACCATTACAGCAGCAAAATATCCCAGAAGAGAGAGCGCTCACTAGAGAGAGAGAGAGAGAGAGAGACACACACACACACACGTAACAGCACACAGACATGCAAACATACACACATGTAAAAGACACATGCCCGGAAATCACTCAGCATATCTGGACATCATCAAAGACATGCACTTTATACGGAATAAAGAAATGAGACAAAACGGCTCGAGCCATCAGACACCACGAGATAAAGAAGTGGGAGCGTGATAAATATAATCCCACATGAATGGATCTAACATATGGAACAAGAGGAGGGGAGAGGGGAGGACACGCAGGGTAGACAGGAGAGGAAGAAGAGAAGGCAGGATAAGAGAAGAAAGAGTGGGAGCTGATCAGCTGCCTTTATCTTTTCTATAGCGAGGACAGCAATGTCACGCTTGTTAATGATTGCTGAACTGCAAAAAGTAGCATAGAGTAATACGTGCACACATAGAAGCATTGCGTACAGGGAGGCTCTTTCTAAAAGAGAACTCCAGCTGCTTTGTATTTCACTTCCATAAAGTAGTGAGGCAGATTTTTTCTTACAAATCGATGCAGTAGGGGCCAAAGTGTTCTGACTTTTAGTCCCTAAATGCTATTTACTCCGTCTTTTCTTTAGACCCTCGCCTCATGAATGCCCACATCTTTCAAATACCAGTGTATAACAAAGGCTAGCTCTTAGAAATCTGTAGTCTCCAAACCCAAGCTGAGATGACCACGGTGAGATCACTCTGAGCAGCACTACCAGACCCAGACTACTGAACTGATCTTGATGAATAGAATCTCTGGCGTTCCCCTTTAAAATGCTCCACATACTCCACTCCATAATTACTGTGTTGCAGAAGCCAATGCAAACTCCTGCTAAAAAAAAAAGTTTCTCGAAACAAGTTCTCTTGAAAACAAGAAAGTTGGAAGAAGAGGTTTGAAAATGTCAAACTCAGCTTCATAGT